TGTTTTCTTAGCCAGAAATCATAAATGAGATCATGCACACACAAGGTTTTCAGTTTCACAGAAAGTTGGCAGAAAGAATCAAAGATGACAAAAAGAAGCAGCAAACACCTCACACACAGAAAACTGCGAGCAGAAAACTTTGACTCTGAAAGGAATTTAAATTTAAATAGATAATGTTGGGAAGTGGCATTAATTTGCACCTGTGCACACCTGTGTCTCTCTCTCTCACACACACACACATGCATGTTTGTACCTTCAGTGTGGAGCTGATCTCTGCTGCGTTGCCTCGCTCTGTTTCTGTGTCTTCTTCTGGCTTCACACATCAAGTTTTATTGCAGCTGCCTGGGAATCTCCTATCCAATCAGCAGCCTCTGCTCCAGTGGCATCACTTCCTGTTCTTCTTTTCCACCATCATGTGTGAAAGATGTCATCATCAGGTCCATTACCTGTTAATGAAAGCTCCTGGGAGCAATCACGCCTCCCTCCGTCCTCCCCGCTCTCAGTTTCCTCCTGAAGGTCAGTTTTTAAAATAAACACATTCAGACTCGTCTCTGTTCTCCAACTGCACCATCCGTGTGCTCCGATCGCACTCCACACGAGACATCAGATCTCTCCCAGAGAAACATTAAATGTCTGCAACCTGAGTGGGTCTGCAGGTTCACCGAGGCAGACTTTGGAAGTGCAAGAAACAGAAAGCAAACACGAGAATGGGCCGCCAATGAAACTGTGCATAAAGTTCACCACTGCTGCAAAACAACGGCAAAAAGAGACAAAACTCCCACCAAGACACACAAAGCGAAGTCAAAAGATGTAGCAAGGCAACAACAAAATGAGCACAAAGATGCAAACAAAGAGAAAATGACAACAAACGTCAAAGACATGAATAGTTACTAAATAACAATAAAAAGTAACAACAAAAATAAGAAAAAAGATACAAATAGTTTTGAAACCAAACAATTTGTAGTTCTTTTGCATCACAAATAACAACAAAGAAACACAAAGTGATACAAAAAACAACAAAACCCAAACTTCTGTCAGACTCTTTGATGAGTAACAGAAACAAGCAGTTATGTTTACAGTATTAATAATAAAGAGAAGCCATCTTGGACAGGAAGTGGCTGCAGAAGTAGAACCAATCACATTCCTCTGCTGGCGTGCATTTTCGTGACAGGAGTATCGTGTCAAAGTTAGGATGAGGTCATACGGCGACATGTTTTTCTGTCCTGCCGTGAACTCGAAGTTGATCCCCATCTTCTTTGTGTTTCTGTTGCTATGGCGACAGGGCTCTCTCCCACTTATCCTCTCGGGGCCGTACGACCTCCGTTCCACCCATCCGTCCGTTCGGGATGGAGAATTTGGTCATTGAGAAAACACACCTGGGTTAATAACGGTAATGACACTGCAGCTAATATGCTAATAATAAGCCCACCATCCCCCAACCAATCACCCTTTAATTAGTCCACGGCCTTCTCTGCTCTAGGTGATGTCATCTTAGCACTCATTTTTTTCTTCCTGTTGCCCTTTCAGCAGCACACACAAGTCTAAATACAGGAGCCTATAAGTCTGCAGTGCTGCGAATAACTGAGCCCACAGAACCTGCTTAAGCACCAAGAACCTGAAATAAAAGTAAAGTGTGGCTCTATGAGTCTGTTGCATTATTGTTGAGGACTTCTGGTCGACTCGTCTTCACAGCGTTGCTTCAGTTCATTGACGTGTGCAGCATTTAGCCATGCACAGCTATCTGAGCTCTGCAGCACTTTGATTCTTTTCGTTTTCAGCCGTTCTGTTGGAGATCTGTTGCTGTGCTTGGATCATTGTCCTGTTCATGGTCAGAGCTTTAGCTGTGGGACAGCCAGAGGAGTTACAGAGGAGTTCATGGTACACTCAGGGACTGTGAGGTGCCTGAAATGTTGGTTTTGTGCTTTATGGATTTACAAAAGAGCCATATTTGTTCGCTCTATCTCTAACCGTGCCGTCATGAACTTTAACCTTTAACATGCTAACTGAGACCTGTATAGTACGAGATGGAGCTTTTGGGTTTGATAGGGTGACTTTGCTGAGACCACTGGTGGGAAGAGTGTGGAATTATGTTATCACACCTAAATCCACCCGAGGTGGTTTTAGTTCCTATGGAAGCAGTGAAGGTGTTCTTAGTTTTTCACATCCCATCTTCTGTGGCGGTTCTGTGAAGTCAAACCAGGTCCAATACCAAACTGG